CAGGAATCATTATTGCTACAACATCTTCTAAACCTATCAGACAGATAGAGAAAAGGAACCTTAAGTAAAACAAATGATTGCCCAAAGACAATCATAGAACCATAGAATATCCTGAGTTGAAAGGGACACATATGGATCACTGAAGTCCAACTCCCAACCCTGCACAGACACCCCAACAATCCATCATGTGCCTGAGAACATTGTCCAAACACTCCTTGAGCTCTGTCAGGCTTGGGGCTGTGACCACTGCCCTGGGAGCTGTTCCAGTGCCCAAACACCTCTGGGGGAAGAACCTTTCCCTAATATCTAACCTAAATCTCCCCTTACACAACTTCAGGCCATTCCCTTGGGTCCTGTCACTGGTTGCCAGAGAGAAGAGATCAGTGCTGCCCCTGCACTGCCCCTGGTGAGGAAATTGTAGATGACTATGAACAAGCCAAGTAACCTCAGCTGCTCCTACTGTGGCTTCCCCTTGAGACCTTTGACCGTATTCGTTGCCTTCCTTTGGATGTCCTCCCATAGCTTAGTATCTTTCTTATTTTGTGGCACCCAAAACTGCACACAGCTCAGCTGAGCCCAGATGAGCTCCTGACACAGTCTGCAGCTTGGCCCCAGCACAGCTGAGGGGGCACAGTCCACGAGGGGGATGAAGCAGGGCCTTCCCACAGTCCTGCCAAGCCTTCCAAAGCTACAACCCCCTGAGCCGGGCCCTGCACCGACCTCTCTAGCCTTGACTCTGCACCAGCTTTCCTTTCTATACAGCTCTGCTTGATTTTACTTGCATCACATATTTTCATAATTTTATGGCCCCTGTGTCCATGACAAATATGGTCTGAAATTATCTGGGATTTGGTGGCTCATTAAATGCCTTTTCTGGCTTTATAAAACAAACTATCTCTGCTTCATGGCTCAATATTCTGGATATTCTGTTCCTCCACTTCATGACATAAGCATGTAGTCTATTTTTACACCTAAACTATGTTTTGCAATACTGCAATGTAGCAACAACAGCACATGAAATGATCCCAAAGTGGCAGCTCGAAAGGTAGAGACTGAGGGTGTCTGAGGTCAGAGAGCAACACTGGGGTGGGTGTCAGAGGTTCAGCTGAAACCCCAGGAAATCCAGCAGCATGTTGTTAATCCCAGGGCTATCTTTGGCTGTGGCAGGAGGAGGAAGCACTGCCAGTGTTGGGACACCTGGGGAGGTGGGAAGGGATCGCTCAGCCTTGAATAGAGGCACGGGAGGGTGACTGGATTTCCAACAGCATCTCCCTCCCTCCAGGCTGGTACCCAGTGCAGCACTGTGCCCTGGTCCTCATGGTCCAGCTCAGCCATTTCTTCACCAAAACCCCCTGGGAGATATAAACTAGGTCCTCCAATGCACT